TGGACTGTAAGTGATTTAGGGTTTCTAATGCCCTATTTCATCTGTTGGGTGCCCAACCCGGAAAACAAACCCGGGTCCAAACCAGAAAATAAAAAAAAAGGCCCAAAACGAAAAAAAAGGGCCAAAACGAAAAAAAAAGGGCCAAAACAAAAAACAAAAAAAAAATGGCCCAAAAACGGCGCCATGTCCGCCATGTCCGCCACGGACCGCCACGCCAAACCCGCCGTAACGGCCGCCATCTCCAAAATGGCGGAACCCCGCCATTTTCACCCTAAACCGCCATAAAGGATTGCGGCCGCCGCCGCCACGCCGTTATGGCCCCGTTATGGCGCCGCCATAACCGTTTTTTGATAACACTGCTCTTCATCACTTTTTGTTTTTCTCTCTGTAAACCCTCTCCTTCTCCTTTGTTATTGAATCGTTTTTTTGTCTTTTGCAGAGTGGGGTGAACTCTTTGTTACTCATTCGCACACTGTTGCAGCTCATCAGGTATGAATCAAGGTTTCGTTAATATCTTTTTGCTTCGCATTGCTATCGTGGCTATCTATTCTATTCGATTTTTTGGTTGTTCTATTCGTATAGGTCACAGGCCTTTTCTTCTGGGTTGTTCTATGAAACAGAACGGCCCGTTCTGCTTGCAGAAATGCCCATTCTCCAAGTAGAACGGGTCGTTCTACTTGCACTTGTTATGTTTTTATTTTTTATTTTTTTACTACTTTTTTACGTCGGACCTTGGTAATGTCCGACGTAAATTTACATCAGTTTTACAGGACCGACATAGATTTATGTCTCCCGTATTAACGTTGATATTTTTTCTGTGTAAAAAGCTCAAAATAACCAACATAAAATACCTCTTTTGTACTAGTATATATTTCATTTATGATCAGATCCAAGCAATCACTATGCAATTCTAAAGTTTAGATAAGTTATGTGTTTATTTAGACATTCAAAAAAGTGTTTCAAATAATGTATTTATAAGTTATACTAATAAAGTCTTCAAGTCAAGCTCACATCTTTATGAGATATGAGTTTCTTCTTTGCTGATTGAACTAATCAATATTTATTAAAATATGTCTAATTAGTCTTTGAAATTATTAGTACAAATAAATTTACATCATAAAATCATAGAAATGTCATTTTAATTTATAAAATTGTTAAATAATGATCACTTTAATTTCAAATAAATATTATAAAAACCGATAATGTAAATAATTTTTATTATATAATCACAAACTATTAAGTATCGTAAGTTTGTCAATTAATTTGTGATAATTATTTTAAAAAATATTTGATGATGATTTTTAGTTTGTTAACAATGTAATTTTTTTTATTACTGACAATATATAGAAAATAAAATCTTAAATTATTGATGTTAATAGATAATTTTTAAATTAAAAAATTAGATACTAAAATGATTAATGTTTAATAATTTTAAAAATTAAAAATTTTGGAAACTAATGAATTTAATTGATGTTTATAAATTTATATAGATTAATTTAGATTGGACTAATTTGCTATTTGAGTTTGTTGAGGCAGTTAGGCATTAGATTACTTTTTTGACTCTAGCTAGTGGGTTCATGTTGTAAACATCCTGTCATGGACTCATCTTTAATTTCTTGACCCCTCCCTCTTTTCTTTTAATCCTTTTTTCGTGCTTATATGATAGCATTGATGTAAGTTAGGCCCATTTTTGTCCATTATGATCTGCTGGAAGATTGTCATTGGTGAGTAAGCAATTCAAAGTGAGGGAAAGCCAGTGTTTGAAATTATTACAAGCAAAGTTGTTGGCATACTAAAATTTATCACATCACTCTTTATTTATGTAGATATTAATTTTTGTACAGGACCCACAGACATGAGTTATCTTAAAAAAAAAATGAGAATATTTCCAATGCAAGTTGAAATGACCAGGGATATATCACATCCAGATTTTCACCTATAATCCTTGGGTGGTCATCAATGATTTTTCTGCATTCTTTTCCTTCCACATATTTTCTTGCTTATAGAATGATCGGTGCATGATATGGTGTGACGTAAATTGGGTGACGTAAATACCTTTTTTTGCACTAGTGATATGGTGTGATTTTTTTTTTTAAGGAGTTAGACCGGTTTAAATTTTACACCACTAAATTAACTTTTGTGTAAATTTACTTTATATATATATCACTTTCTTTTTTAATATTTTTCATATACACATTAATTAAAACTATTCTCTAAAGTTGAAGGAGTCAATGAAAGTTATCTCATTGTATTGTATATATAATACACAATGTTGTTATTTACTTTTTCACTTTCTATTATACCTATCGAAAAAGAGTTTCATTGGTTTCCACACTCTTTATATATTAGGTGATGTGACATTTTACACAACCTAAAATAAGATATGAAAACAAAATGATACGAAAATATTAAGACTAATAATTTGCAAATTTTGAAATACCTATTCTATAATGATTACTTATATATATTTTACTTTTTTTTGCACACCAATAATTTTGATGTCATTAATTTGTTACTAAATTCATCTTCATATGTACTATACCAAAAACTATCTTTCATATATAGTTAAGATTCCCTAGCTAATACGTGTGCCGGACTTAAATTCAACCCTAGGCCTGAACTAATCACTTAAAGTGAAAAGTTATGTGAAAGGTGATACAAGAAAAGGAAATGGAGGAATAGTTTTGGTATCATTATATACATTACATGATGCTTTGGGAAATTATAGCCCTTTTGAAAATACATTACCCTTACCAATTATATTAGTATATATCTCCATCACACAAATTATTTATTTATGTTAAATCAAGATAGTTTATAGTCAAAAGTTAATGACTAAATTTTTGAAATACTGATATTCATTTAAATTAAGTATTAATTTCTTCTAATAAATATTATATATATATATATATATATATATATATATATCAATTAAAGATTGAATTCCTACTTACATATTTAAAAGACATAATTATCTGTCAATTATATCGCACTTTGTTAGTTTATATACTTTATTATTGTTCATATTAATATTCTATTATAAGAATAAAGCAAGAGTGTTGAGATCATTACCTGGAATAAATCACCAATATTAACAACAAGAGCTTGGGGGTTAGGTTTGACACCAACCCAATTTCCATCTTTCATTAGTTGCAACCCCCCAATCTGGTCCTGGTGTACTATAGTGAGGAAACTAGAATCAGTGTGAGGTAAGAGGCCAAAGAACCTTGGAGAGAATGGACATGGTGGATATCTGTTTAGGCGAAGAAAGCTTGTGTTTGCTGAACAGTTTTCTTGGAAATAGCTGAATTTGATGTTCACTTTCTGAGCTAGAATTTGCACTAAGCTTTCTGCTAGAGGAGCAACCACAGATGCAAAAGCTTCAATTGTTGATCTAGATAATTTAGCATAACAATTGATTAGAAAAATTATACATATTAGATAGTAAATAACTGTTCAAGAAATTTAATATAATGGTCCTCAAAGGTCGTAAAAGTTGTTTAACACTCCAAAATAAACTCAACGTGCAGATCATATAAAAGGAGACAGAATATATATAGAAACTTTTGGACATTGTTGGACATTGTTGCCTTAAGTACATGCAATAACTTTATATGCAAAAGGTAGCCAACATCATTTTCTTCTAAGGACTTTAATATTAAAAGATCTACATGATTAATTCTAAACCATTTATTATTTGGGTCGTGCATGTTTTTGGATATCAGAAAAAGGGAATGAAGAAAAGATGAACCTTACTAGTGTATATATGGGTCACAAATTTTCTTTTAATAACATACACATGTTATGTTCTCAAATCTATTAAAGTCATTCCTTGACATTATTTTATCCTAAGCTAACAGAAGAACTAAGTACTAAAACTTCAAAACCAATAAATCCTATATATTCAATTTACCCTCATATTTACTGTTTCCAAGTTTATTTTTTTTAGCATGTTGTCACCTTAAAAATTCTATAATAGCAACATACAACAATTTGTGTAACTTTAAATTTTATGTAATTTATCTTTTTATAATTAACAAATGTAATGAATAATATAATATAAACTAATAAATTGTCGGTTCAAATGATATTGGACTCAATCTCTTTAAATAAGATTTTATATTCAAATTGAAAAAGAAATTATTTGAAATAGAAGATTTTTTTAAAGATAATTAGTCAATTTTTCTAAATAAAACTAATCTTTAATAAAATTGATAGATATTTTATATTAATAATTTAATTTTAAAAAAATGACATATATAATATAGAAAGATATAAACACAAAAAAGTCAATGTTATATAAGTATGATTTCTCACAATTATAACATGCAATTGCCTTCCCACCCAAAATTTGAGAAACAATGCAGTGTTGTCTACCTCAGACTTTGGTGCTGGTCCATCCTAGCTATGTCTGGAAGAAACATGTGGAAGGCTTCTGACCATGAAATTTGCCTCAAGTTTGTGGCAGAAGGGTTGCCCCACCTGTAACTTCTGGCTGGTAAATTCAAGAAATTCTCACTAGACTTGTGTGCAAAAGGGTTGCGGAACACTTCCATTTGCTCACACCTCAGACTCTGCAGCAACTCTTGTGAAACACCATGATTCACAACCTGGAAAAAACCCCATGTTCTGGCAGCTCCACTGATTTCTTCCATGCACTCCACCCTCTCATGCTTGCCAAGACTTAGCTTGGAAAGATCAATCAGAGGAAGCTCACACCACTCGGATTTGTCACTTGTGTTAATACCAACATCAACATCGAGTGAGCCTTGTAGAAGGATCTTGTAGATCTCTAAAAATGGAGGTTCATAATCCATTTGAGATAGAGTAGTGATGAGCTAGCTCTCTCAATACTTGGAATTGTCCTTCCCAAGTCACACACTTATATATATATTATGTTAGGAGTCTCCTATCAGTCCACTGAGCTTGACTTCTGTAAATTCTGGCTTAATCTAATTTGTTTATTAGTGAAATGTTTGTTTTTGAAAGAACTTAAGTAAAAACAAAATGGGTTAATAGCATGTTTGGAGAAATTTTTTTCCCTCATTTCAGTTACTATTTTTTAAGTTAAACCATCCAATTGGGTAATGAAAGTGAGTGGCCATTACAATTTAGTTCTTAAAAGAAAAATAAAATACATCTAAAAATAACTTTTCTCAAGAAAGTTAGTCTATGAATATTTGAAAGCAATTGACAATATTATTGTAATTGATATGATATATTATAAGTGTCACATATACGTTACAAGGATCAAATTCAATAATTCTTATTTTACATAGATTAAATTAAAAGATTTTATTTAAGTAATATTTTATAAATATTTTAAAAATTTTAAATTAATATATGCACTAATTTATTAAAATTTATTTCGATTCTTGAAAATTAATAATAACTTTTAAATAGATACTTATTCATAAATAGTAAACATCTACACATTTCAAACTTTTAAATTAACCATTATATTAGTATTTTAAAATTTATTTCAATAACTTTCAATTTAATCACTATCCAAGAAATATCAACATATACATTCCAAATGATTAAATCAATCTTTATAAAAAATTCTTTTTGATTTAGTTTCTACTAGTTACTAACATGTTTTAAATTGGTCAATTAATTAAATATAATATAAGGCTATTAACAATAAATTTATTGATTAATTTTATTTTGTTAATATACATTACTCATCAAATGCGCTATCTTATTTAAAGAATTTAAGTCTAATTTTATTTGAATATTGCTAAATATTTATTATAAGTTTAATTATCTTTTTTATTTATATGATTTTATGTATTTTACCTTTTAGTCTTTATAAAAAAAATATTATATTTTAGTTTTTATAATTATATTTTTTTAAAATTTCATAAATTTTATTTTTCAACCATTGTAAAAGTACACTAAAAATTTAAAATGAACAAAAATAATGTATATAATAATTAAAATAAAACATTTTTTGATACAAGAACTAAAAACTAAAGTTGTGCTAAAAAAAAGCTAAAAACTCACGGAACTATAAACTAATGATATTTAATTAAAGTTGTAATATATCTACGCAATAGATAATAGAAAGTAATATTTCTTTTAAATATGTACTATGGTGGCTTATCTAACAATAACTAAGAGTATCTCCGGTGAGAGTTGCATCCCTTGTATCATATTATTGTTACATCAATTCTGGTATATTTTATGTGTTGTTTAAATTTTAGTAAAATTACTTATAGAAGCAATTTTGCTAAAATTTAAGCAATCCATAAAATAAATCAGAGCTGATGTGACAATGATGTGACACAAACAACCTGTTAGAGATGCTCTAAGAACATTTCTAATAGGGATTGCTTATAAGTAATTTCCTGTGCCACATTCAGTTCTGACTCACTTTATGGATTGCTTAAATTTTAGCAGAGTTACTTCTACAAACAATTCTACTAAAATTTAAACAATCCATAAAATAAACCAGAACTAATGTGATACAGGAAGTTGTTTATAAGCAATTCCATTGCAAAGACTCTAAATAGTCATGTCATTAATGGACCGTACCGCAATTCGTCCCGACAATGCACTTACATTATAAGATCGAAGAGAAAACAAACTGCATTGCGGGACCCAACAAAAATTGAAATACGTGCCTATGGGGTACCTTTGTTCCGATAGATACCATATTCCAATAACCCCATTGCTTCATCTTTCGACCTCAAAATTCAATCGTGTCAATTTCTAGAACACGTCATACCAAAGTTTAAGTAGAATCATACCAATTAATACTATATGATAGTAAAACGTACACCACTTAGCAATAGTGGAGGATGACACAATCACTCCTATGTGAAAATGTTTCACCATTCCATTTCAAGCAACGAATCTGAATATTTCATTCTCTATGCTGTGTTTTAGAGTTAAAGAAAAAAATTAATTTAAATTAACACTTATTATAAAACATAAGAAGTATTAAATATAATCAATTATATCGTATCAGAATGTGTTTAGAGACATATCTTTAATAAAAGTGTTTAGTTGCTTCAAAAAAAAAATAAAAGTGTTTAGATTTTAAAAAATAATTATTTTATTTTATTTAATTTTTATTTATCATATTTACGTATAAATTAAATTTTACTTTTTAAATAAATGATTAATTATTAAAAATAATCTTGTAACAATATCAATTATTTATTATAAATATAAAATATAATTTATATGCTTAAATATATTTATATGTATTTTAAATATAATTTATATATTTAAATATAAAATATTCATTGTATAGATTAAAATACTATAGTATTTAGTTAACTTTCAAATGTAACCCTATTTTTTATATATTATATTATTAGAAATGGTAGTTAATCTTTGTAAGAGACTAGATATTTTTCTCTTAATCTAATTTATTTTATATTTAAAATTAAAATTAAATATCAAACAATTTATATATGAAATACAATTTATTATGCTTGCAATATTGTATCAATTGGTGTTAGTAATGTAATCCTATAGTGTGTTGACCGAAATATTGATACTTGTATGATCCTTATTTTCTTACATTAAATAAATTTTTTTGGACTAAAACATTTAAAACTGAAAAAAAAAATAGTCATACAAAAGTGAATATCACTATTTTAAGGAAAGAAGTATATATTATATGAATATAATTAAGAAGACTAAAAATAAAATCTCTCGTTTTAGGTCGTTATAGCACTTTGAATAAGGGTTACTAAAATTTAAACTGATTAATATTTAAATGGTTTGAGTTAGTTTGGTTCTTTTAAATAATTTTTTCAACTCAAATAAAATAAATTCGATTATTTTAAAGTTAATTTGGGTTAAGTCATTGGATTTATTAATAGAGTAATAAAAATAAAAATAAAGAAAAAGTGAAAATAGAAAATTATAATAAAATGAAATAAAATTGATATAAAAAAATAGAATTATAAAATTACCTAACACAAAAATAATATAATTATAGAATTACACAATATAAAAAACTAAAAAAAAAATCAATATAATAATGGCTTGTTTGTCCAAAAATTTCATGTGCCTAGATTTCATATCTGAACTGTTATTAAATTTTTAATTTTTAATTAAGTATTGATGATGTAAATCAATCCAATTTTTCTCTTTAATTTAATTTAGATCGATCGGGTCTCCAAATGGATTTGGACGAATGTTCACCTCTAATTTTGAGTTTGTTTTGTAGCGCGCGTCAGCACTATACGTACTTTTTACACCACCAGGGACCAAATTGCAATTTACATACAATTTGAAGTCTTGAATTCTGTAACGACCCACATGACCGTCACACAGCAAACCATACAGCATCATACAGAACAGAGCATACATACATACATATAAAGTATATACACATATGTCTAGCCTGGAGCTCAAAAATCTAAATATACAAAATACATACAACAATGCTACAGTAAGGACTCAAAACAACAAAATATCAATATCCACTTCATCTGTCAGCTGCAGACCTGCCTCAAGTCACCAACATATCCCTGCTCTGCTCCATACACAGTATGATCATTGCAGTCCAAACCACATAGAAACAACAAGGGTAAGCTAGTGAAAAGAATCAACTTATACACATATAATTACAGGAATTATAATCAGCTACAACCATCAGCATATAATTAAATTTAGCATGAATCAGCATACAACACATCACAACATACATCTCATGTCATTTAGCCAAAAGCAGCATTAAACAAACAATGCGTCGTCATGTATATCAGCTCAAAGATCTCCTACAATAGCTCAGCCTTACGGCCTACAACAACTCAGCCTTACAGCCTACAACGGTCTATATCAGCATGCAGCACAACACAACATAACAACATTAACATCATACAACACAACTCAACTTTATACAGCACAACTTAAACATCATAATTCAGCATGAACATTTCACAGCACAACAATATCATTAATCAGCTTAACAACATTCATCAATAACAGCTCAGCTCAGCAAACATCAACATATATAAGCATTTCTCAGCATATATCAGCATAAAATAAAGATCACATCCACGCCCGACGCACTCATGGTCGCGCCCGACGTGGCCCAACCAGAGAGCACCAAGGCTCAAACGCGCCCGGCGCAATTTCAATTATGCCCGGTGTGCTAGGAGGCAGAGACTCCAAGGAGCCTCACACGCCCGACGTGCCAAACCCGCACTCGGCACAGGGAAGGCAGAGACCTCTCCAAGGTCTCACGCCCAACGTAATACCAATTGCGCCCAGCGCCACCTTTGCCAGAGACTCCCAAGGAGTCTCCACGCCCGGCGAGACATAGTCACGCCTGGCGCAACACCAGAAACCCAAAAAGATAAGTTACTTACTGATATTGTGCCCAGGGCGGTCCAACCACGCCCGGCGTGGGCCATCCAGAGGCTCCCATTCTCAAGCTCGCCCGACGCGCACAACTTTGCGCCCGGCGGACTTGTCCAATAGAGTCCTCTGATGGTCACACGCCCAGCATCAAGAATTGCGTCCGATGTGATACCAAGCAGCAACCCCCAAACTTCGAAAATTTGCATCAAAACCTGCACAAACAACCAGCAAATCCACATGCAAACCATCCAAAACTCTACATTTTCATCCAACAACACGAAAACCAAATCATTTTCAGCATGCAACCATAAACATGGAAAAACCCCAAATTTTCACCCAAAACCCCGAAACCCCTAAAATGAAATTTCTTCAAACACAACCATAAATCCGCAAGAATTTAGCCAACAAGTGAGTTCCCAGCTCACTCCCAAATAACCAGCACGAAAAACTAACTTCCCTTATCTCTGTGAAGAATTTCGAGCTCTGGGAAGAGAAGAAATGGAGAAAATG